GACCAAAGTCAAACTTATTCATTTTAACATCAAAACTTAGCATTCTTCACAAAATTTCATATTTAAGTTTTCCGGCTATACACCCGGACTACGCACACAAATCGAGGCGACTCTAAATGAGGTTTTCAAGGCCTCAAAAGCACAAAATGGATAAGAATACAGGTGATGACCCTTTGGGTCGTCACATTCTCCTCCTCTAAAACAATCGTTCGTCCTCGAACGGACATAAGAAGGAAGTACCTAAGTCAGGGAAAAGGTGAGAATAACGGTCCCGCATATCGGACTCGGACTCCCAGGTCGATGCCTCAGGAGGCTGACCTCTCCACTGAACACGAACCGAAGTAAAACTCTTCGACCTCAACTGGAGAACCTGCCGGTCTAGAATAGCTACCGGCTTCTCCTCATAAGATAAGTCCTTGTCCAACTGGACAATGCTGAAATCTAACACGTGGGCTGGGTCGCCGTGATACCTCCGAAGCATGGACACATGAAAAACTGGATGCACGGCTGATAAGCTCGGCGATAATGCAAGTCTATAAGCCACCTCTCCCACTCGATCAAGAATCTCAAACGGACCAATGAACCTAGGGCTAAGCTTTCCCTTCTTCCCAAATATCATCACGCCCTTCATAGGCGACACTCGGAGTAATACCCGCTCACCTACCATGAAAGTCACATCTCGAACCTTACGATCTGCATAGCTCTTTTTCCTGGACTGAGTTGTACGAATCCTATCCTGAATGATCCTGACCTTATCCAAGGCCTCCTGAACCAGATCCGTACCCAACAACCGAGCCTCCCCTGGATCAAACCATCTAACCGGAGTTCAACATCGCCTACCATACAAAGCCTCGTAAGGAGCCATCTGGATACTCGACTGGTAGCTGTTGTTGTAGGCGAACTCTGCTAAAGGCAAAAACTGATCCCACGAACCTCCAAAGTCAATAACACAAGCTCGGAGCATATCCTCCAATATCTGAATAGTCTGCTCGGACTGCCCGTCCGTCTGAGGATGAAATGTTGT